GCGGTGGGCGGAAAAAGGACTCTAAGGTTAGGGGATCCTTGACAGTTCTGTTTGACGATTCATTTGACACATTTGAATTTGATTTGAAATTTTGTGGATTTGTCAGCAGGGTTCGGAAAACTACATGTTAAAAATTTGTCTGTCTTCTGTAAACATCTAAAATTAGTTTATTTTGAAACTTTGACACTAAAACATCAAGAAATGGCAAACGATTACCTCTGTCTACTTCTAAAGTAAATTTTATGGTAGGTTCGCGAGAATTTATATATTCCAAAAAAATGTCTATTTCAGAAACGTTATGTTGCCATATTGCAAAAATATCATCAACATAACGCAGCCATATTACAGGCTTTTTTGAAAAACTATTTATTGTATTATTTTCAAAATCTCCCATAAAAATATTACTTAACAAAGGAGAGAGAGGTGATCCCATTGCCATACCGAAATCTTGTTGAAAAAATTCATTATTTAATTGGAAATAAGTAGTTTTAACACAAAGTGTCAACAATTCCAAAATACTATCTATGTTTAATTTTGTTCTATCTATTAAATGTGTATCTTGTTCTAATCTATCCCTAACTATTTTAAGTGATTTATCTACCGGCACATTAGTGAAAAGACTAACAACGTCAAAACTCACCATTAAACTGTTAAAAAGGTGTTATATTAATTTTTGAAAAATTTTCTATAAAGTGTGGTGTGTTTTTAATGTATGAATCGGTGTTATTTGCAATCGGATTTAATATGTCTAGTAAAAATTTTGCTAACGGATGGCATGGAGAATTTATACTACTGACTATAAAGGTAAAAGGTATACCCTGTTTGTGTATTTTCGGTAAACCGTATAAATGTAACCGTATATAGTAACTACATGTTACTTTTAAAAACTACATAAACTGCATGTAGTTAATGTAGTTTATGTAGAAGGTGTAGTTTATGTAACTTATGTATGTAACTTTCAAATATCAAAGGTTTGAGGTGAGGTTTTAATAAGTTGAAGCTTTAAAAACACATAATGTATTTAAGAAAACAGAAGAAATATGGCTTTAAATATAATATTTACATCATATTATTTCTATTACACCTCATACAAAGGAAAATTATTCATAATATCGATACATAGTTTATTAACGTAGTTTTCATGTAGTTAATGAACGGGAAAAGACGTAGTTTTTGAAGAAAAACTACACGTAGTTAATCAGGTAAATTACGTCTTAATTAACTACTTCCGAACCCTGTTTGTCAGTCTTTACGGAGCTTATTTTATGTTATTTATTATTTATTCTACTACTGGTAATTGTATAAAGGTAGGAAATCTAGATGGAAATTGTGGCAGAACTTAAATTAACAGTGATACTGTCGCGATTTATCGAAAAGGACTCTAAAATAGTTGGTTGTGTAGCGTGCGGTAGATCTCGGCAAAAATCGAGTGAAATAATGGAACAACTTTTCGCTAGTAAGTGACTATATAATATACATACGTGTAGTAAACCGATCATTTATGAAATTCACTAAAATTAACTAATTATATATTTTTTCTTGCATTTTTGCTTTTATTTACTACTTGTCAAAGATTAGATGTCAAAGAAATTACGTCAATTTGACTTACCTGCTTCAGTAGCGTATCGGATGTTTATGGTTATAAATAATTATTATAACTTATCTATTTTTATTAGAATTTTATATTTTTATAACAATTTTAATAACTACCAACATTTATTCACAACGTAAAATAAAAAAAAAATATTGAGTCTACACCACGCCTACCCTACATCATAGTTTTACATTTTTTAAATAAAATTAGAGCGGCACTGATAAACCGGAATTTAAGTCGGCCATATTTGAGGCCCATCGCGGTGGACCTAAGATTTTTGATATGCTCCTTTCTTAGTCTTATTCAAAGCAATTTTTAATTTTAATTGTTTTCAATCTATATTATTAGATTTTGTTGTATTTTGTGAATGTATAAATGTTTTTTTAGTATAAAGTTGCATTATAGTAATTTAAATTATATTACACACATTTAAAATTAAAATATTATGACGTATATGTGAGTTACGGTCTAAAATGTCATCTTGATAACAAAAAGTTAGTTATTGTCAGAGATAGTTAAAATATTAAAATTCACAAGTTGATTAGCAATCAGACAATTCTATTATATTATATATTATTTCAAAAACAAAAACATAATGCTATAGCGTAATTTTGATATGCAGGTTCAAAACAAAAAGTGCTGTTATATTTTTCAGTGATTTCAGTGTTAGAAAACAAGCCTGTAATTGACATACCTAATTGTTATGTAATATATTCCATTTAAATGCAATATATTACTTTACAATTAAAAAGATGTAAATTTAAAAGATATATTAAAACTATGTACAGACATTAATTGAAATTTTTAGTATGCGAACAAACACGAGAGGCGCTTTATTTACTTTTATTTCTTAACATGACAGATGAAGTTCTAAAGGTGGATGTTTTGTGAGAACTAGAAGATTTTAGCTAATTTTAAAGAAACTGCAACTATTTTTAAATTAAATCTGAACAGGTAATAATGCAAAACCAGACAAATGTCAACATATCTTAAGTTGTCAACCTATGATTTTGTCATTCTGTCATAGATAAATGTGAAACAAGTTTAGATTGGAAAGTGCCTATGAGGACAATGTAAATACTATTTGGCGCTATTCTTGCAACTGTCGCGACCCAAAGCTTTTAATAATTTCGGAGCGGTTCGACTTTTTCCGGAATTATACCGCCCAATATATTATTTATTCAAATATATTGTTATTTCCTTTTAATTTTATAAATAAAACACAGTGTGTTGCATATAAGATACTTTATTTTATATAAGGACAGTTTAACTTTTTTAAATGCCACTTTTTCACAATTATCAGGGGTTTGAGTAAATCAAATTTAAATTAAACTTACAAGATAGCAATAATTACTTTGAAAACGGACGCTTTAAACACCTTTCGGTATTTTTTCAATGCGGGCTGTTTAAATTTTGAAAGATTTTATAATTTTTGAAGATTCTGACTTTGACAAGAGAAAATTATTTTTCTCCAAAAAATCCTATAGTTATTTCGCCACTGCAAGAAAATCTACAAAATAAAATAGTTATTTTTTGTAAACACTTCTGCGTTAATCCAAACGGAAACTACTTGTCAGAAGTTAGGTTTACAGATATACAAATTTTTGCCTAACGAACAAAAAAATGCTTAACGTTTCGGAAAGTTTATCTCTTTCCGTCGTCGGAAGCAAAAAAAAAATACAAAGAATAAAGAAAAAAACTATTTAAAATATTTAAATTCAACTATTCGAGAACACTTTAGTTTTTCAAAACAGATACGTCTACAAAAACCGTTGACGTTCTGTTAAAATGACATTATATCAAGTTAAACTTCAAAAATAACAGTTACTTAATAAGGTAAAACCAAAAAGCCCCAAAGTTTCTGATTATTTTTAATTTTTACATATGTTATGTTTATTTATGTTATGTTCTTTAAAATCAAAGAAGCGATTTCTAGAATAAATTTTAATAACGCCAAATTTATAATGAAAGAAGAGATAAATAAAGAAAAATAAGAGGCTTTTTTAAGACAATCTGTTAAAAATATTTGTATTGCTCATGCATCTGTAGATGTTAGTAATGTATGGCCAAGAACGGTAAACTAATAGGATTGCTCATCCTCATAAGATGTACGTTCGCCTCTTCCCGCGCTTCAGCTGACAGTTGCGACGTCATTGTAGCCCTTGTCAAAGCCTTCGTGGCCTTGTCATGATAGTGTATATTATTAGTTGCCTATGGTAAACTTATAAAAATAACAGCTGAGAAATTTTGAGTTAATTATTTTGTCAATTTTAAATGTGAAAAAGGTGTCTTTAGAGTTTTTAGAGCTATAGAGTGTATAAATACGTTCATTTTGTGTTGTGGATTGTGACAAAGTGCATACTAAATGCCCACGATTTTATTTATTAATTATTTTAAAGCGAAATATGGAAGTACTCTAAAAAGAATGCTTGCAAAAGGTGATGCTGGGACCTGCTGTTCTTAAAAATGCATTATCCGAGTATTTAATACGATTTATACAGTTAATTTTCTTTACTGCATACATATAAGGTATTTAAATAAATAAACTAAATAATGAACGTTTTGCATTCGGTAACCAATAATGCACGTGTGTGTATTATTGGTTGCCGGATAAGGACTAATAACTATGACAAGGGCTACAATAACGTCACAAAGCGAGTAGTTTTCGCATGCACCTGGCGGACACTTTTGGCTGAATGAGCAGTCCTATTAGATTAACTGTTCTTGATGTATGGCAATCGCTTCTTTGATTTTAAAGAACATAACATAAATAAACATAACATACGTAAAAATTAAAAATAATCATACAGAAAGTTTGGGGCTTTTTGATTTTACTTTATTAAGTAATTGTTATCAGGTAGTAATTGTTAATTTTGAAGTTTAACTTGATAAAATGTCATTTTACCAGAACGTCAACGGTTTTTGTAGACGTATCTGTTTAAAAAAAACTAAAGTGTTCTCGAATAGTTAAATTTAAATATTTTAAATAGTTTTTTCTTTATTCTTTGTATTTTTTTTGCTTCCGATGACGGAAAGAGATAAACTTTCCGAAACGTTAAGCATTTAAGTTCGTTAGGCAAATTTGTATATCTGTAAACCTTGTAACTTAAAAAGATTTTCTTGCAGTGGCGAAATCCCCATATAGGATTTTTGGAGAGATGAATCCGCCACATAGGTATAGACATTTTTTAAAATTATTTTTGTTCTTGTTTGCGGTCGTTCTTAGCAACCATTTAGATCCCGTACAACGTATACGACCCAAAACAATTTATACGTTTTAGCGGGAAGCCGAGCATTCCAATCTAAGTTTATTTCCTTTATCTATGCATTCTATGTGTTGTCAGCCCTGGTAGGAGGGAGGGCTCACTTGTTATTCGATTTTTTTTAACTATTTAAACATTTTCAGAGGCTCCACAGTACTCCAATCAGCCCAGCGCATTCTACCCCGTCGCTCCTCAAGATATTTCGATATATTATCCTTTACCGAGGGAGGCCCCCAGACCGATGCCGTACGAAACGCCTCCAAGGCCAACGGCCTTCCAAATGGACCATAAGATCAACGAGCATTATTCGGCCTTGAGAACGGCCACGAGCCAACACGGTCACATTATTCATCCCGGAACGGGTTTGACCATCAATCCTGGCCAGCCCACGCCAAAAGGTAACTCTGATGCCGATTTGCACCAAATCAAACCTAAGCTATCCTTAAGCTTCTTTCAGAGCTTTGCAATTAGTGGTTTCAGTTACACTTTATACTTTTTAGTTTACGATTATTTAGAATGTCTAAAAAACACAATTAAAATTAATAGAATATCGTAGCAAAAGCTTGCGGTAGTCAGTTGTATCCATAGAGAAAGCCTTAAGCTGGGCGCGCACTGAAGGGGTATCGGCGCGAGCGAACGTCACAACCGGTCGGAAAGTCGATGATAGCCGCGCACTGGAGTCGCACGATCGACGGTCGAGAGTACGTCACCAGCATATATTTGAGCATAGACGAGGAGAAGTTTATTCATATTTAGTCATATATATTCGGTATTTCAAAAAATTATAAAGTATTATTACTATGTATATTTTTATGCATCTTTTATATTTTATGCTTTATGATGGAAATTAATATTATTTAGATCTTAACCAAACACACATGATCTTAATCAAACACACATTAATATACAGGGTTGTTCACCACATACGACACGGAGTATTGTAGCTAAACGACTAGATTTTTACAAATTGTAAGTTTTGGGTTCGTTGAAGGACTATTAGAGCTACAATTTAAAAATATTTTTACAAGATACAGAGTGTCCCAAATAAATAAAAAATATCATAGTTGTATTATTTTAAATGGAACACCCTATATATTATTACATTTTTAGTTTCTACGATTAAAATAAAGGTAAATTTGATTAACGTTTATTACACTTAAACCTTACCGTTTTTGAAATATCTTCAATTTTGTGAAATTGCAGTATAAATTTTAAGGCTTCATTTCTCCGAGGATATCAAAGTTTTTAATACTAAATATTTACTGAAATTTATTTATTGATCAGTTATTGTATTGCAATAATAAAAACTTTACTACCTTATACAGAGTGTCTAAAAATTTATTTTAAATAATTTCTAGCTTCAAACGCCAATAACTTCTTTAATTTAAATAGAATACCCTGTATATTTTAGGAGAATCAGATGCACAATTTAATTGTCTATCAAATTGCATTATACCATTTTTTACCTATCCCTTCAAGTTTCCGTAGAAAATGCATTTTCTTGTAATTTAGAACTCATTTATCAATATACCCATGGAATACTGACATTTTAGATTATTTTTAAAGATTTTTAAAGAATTTTTAAAGAGTACAGATACTAATATTGTCGATATAGTTCGTTTATTTCATTAACAAATTAAAAAAAACTGTTTAAATATTTGTTAAAGAGGACCAATTAATATGATTCCAGTATTCAAACTACATTAATTGACTGTTTGCGTTGATTAATAATAATTGCTCCAAATACTAAAAAACTGAATTATGTATGTGTATTAGACAGTGTGGTAAAAAGTAACACCTTAAAAATGATATTTAATTTTTTGACAAATGCTTATTTATAACAACAGATACGTTCATTTTCATAACTTATTATTATATTGATTTCTGATTCAAATCCACATTTATTTAGAATAATTTATTAACGAACACAATTAAGTTTGTAGTTAATTAGTATTTGGGCGGAAATAGTGGTGGTATATTTCATTAATGGTATACTCTTTTATAAAGATTTAAATAGTTTTCTTTTTGCATACAAATGGGCTAGTAATAATATCGTTTTACTAAAAACGATAATATTGCTAGCCCGTACATTTTGTACATTTGTTGTTTTAAAAACAATCTAAAATGTCAATATTCCATGGGTATATTGATAAATGAGGTCTAAATTATAAGAAAATGCATTTTCTACGAAAACTTGAAGGAATAGGTAAGAAGTGGTACAATACAATTTGATAGACAATTAAATCGTGCATCTGCTTCTCATAAAATATACAGGGTGTTCTATTTAAATTAAATAAGTTATTGCCGTTTAAAGCTAGTAATTATTTAAAATAAATTTTTAGACACTCTGTATAAGGTACTATAATTTTTATTGTTGCAACACAATAACTGATCAATAAATAAACTTCAGTAAATATTTAGTATTAAAAACCTTGATATCCTCGGAGAAATGAAGCCTTAAAATTTATACTGCAATTTCCCAAAATTGAAAATATTTCAAAACGGTAAAGGTTTAAGTGTAATAAACCTTAATCAAATTTACCTTTATTTTAATCGTAGAAACTAAAATGCAATAATATACAGGGTGTTCCATTTAAAAAATACAACTTTGATATTTTTATTTATTTGGGACACTCTGTATCTTGTAAAAATAAATTTAAATTGTAGCTCTAACAGTCCTTCAACGAACCCAAATCTTACAATTTGTAAAAATCTAATCGTTTTGCTACAATACTCCGTGTCGTATGTGGTGAACAACCCTGTATGTATTTCGATCTTAACAAACCACATAAAATTAGTGAAATAGAGTGGAAGATGGGGATAAAAAATACTACATTACTCTTGGCTTGACCGATTTTAACAAATTTGGTGTCATTCAAATGGGTTTAATTTGTTCATTAAAAACAAAGTTAGATATGAAAAATAGTCAAATAAAACTTCAATTTTTAGTTTTTTAATCTAAATAAGTGTCATAACAAACATTTATAAAATAATTTTATATACTACATATATACATATATATAGCTTTTATTTTAAGTTTTTAAAATCTTGGTTTTAAGTCAGTGGTCAATAAACCGAAACTTTTGTTTATATTTTGTTTAATGATTAACGTTTCGAACAATTTTAATTCGGTCTTCTTCAGAATCTACAATATACGTATAAATGATGTTCTACGTCTGTGGTAAAAAAAAAATATATATTAAACACATTGTTAGTGATAAAATAGTATTGTATATTATAGATTCTGAAGAAGACCGAATTAAAATTGGTCGAAACGTCAATCATTAAACAAAATGTAAACAAAAGTTTCGTTTTATTCACTACTGACTTAAAACCAAGATTTTAAAACCTTAAAATATAATAAAAAAGTCAAAGAAAATTAAAAAAAGAAAAAATATATAGTTTTTATTTTATAGTACCGTATGATCGAAAAGAAACGGCATCAGCGATGGCCATGAAATGAAGGTCGGTGTCATTTTATATGTAAATTTATATGGGAAATGTCATCAGTCGTCATTTCCCATCCAACTGGACGCCGTTTTTTTTCTATCATACGGTAGATATATGTACAAATATTTTATTCAAACATAAATATTATTTTCTCTATTTGTACCTTGTACGGAGCGATCAACATAGTAACATAAGATGACTATTTATCAGCTGTTATTACTAACGTCAAAACAAACCAAAGATTAAATATGATAAGTTTTTTGACGATATTTACATTCGATTTCCATAATAATGTGAGATAATCAAAACGAGATGAGAAATAAATGTGTTTAATCGGAAGGTTTTCTAATACAGTTATTGAATAAGTTTATTAAACAATATAGGTTACGTGCTTGTATGAAATTTTTATAAAAAAAACGCATATTAAGTATGATATGGTATCGTACACTTTCGATTAATAATTCATCGGACATGTTTGGTTTGGTTTGTTCGCTCGGCGTAGACTATTCGTCCCCCTCCCATGCATTCTCTGATTTCGCCTGATGGCGCCGGGTACCGCCGATACTGACGATAGCTCGAAGCGCCCCGATCTAATGCAGTGCGCGTGCTTACATTTATTTCAACGTAAACTGAAAATCACGTATCGGTCAATCGCGCCGATACCCCTTCAGTGCGCGTAGAGCTTTAAGGCACACTCTCACGACTCGTCTACTTGGCAAGTACGCCAATATTTGTGTACTTGGCAAGTATCCCCACCTGTCCCCACTTTGTAAACAACATCGGCAAGTGTGGCGCTTACACGACGTGTCCATTTCAACAAATACGCCAGCACAAACATTGTTTAAATACTTGTCAAGTAAACAGTATAGTCGCATCGATGGATACCGGTCGTCCCGAAATTGTCGTTGCTAGTGATTCTTTTTTCTTTTTAAGTTCTTTTACTGTACACTGCAATACGATTTCTATGTTCTTTATGTTTGGCTATCCATATGAAGGGCTCATTTTCGTAGAAATCCATAAATTCCAAAACATCATTTGAAGACCACACGGGAAAACCAGTTTTGTCCATTTTAATTGGAGCCGAGAAAAATGCAGTTTAGTGTTTTTAAAGAAATATGTTATTTTCGGTTGAATAATTAGAAAAATATATATTACTATCAATTCTGAATTATTAACATTGTGAATTATCGCCATATTCTGAAATACCGGTAAAGGTAAGGAAGGGTATTCTGAAAAAGGGGGTAAGGGTATTCTGAAATACCGGTAAAAAATAAGGTTGTATAAAACCTAAATCTAAACTATTATTTTTTTGTTGTAGGGAGAAAATTACTATTTAAGTAGGTTTTTATTACAATACATAAATTTATAACATATAATACTAATTGCAAGATGCACGCTTGTCGCCCATGCGTAAGGACATCTCTGTTTTTTTTTGTTCTTTTTTGCCATTTACGCGTGGACTACTCTGGTTTTTTCCTTGTACGGCAAAATAACCAACCTGTAATATCTCTGGGACTAAGCGTATTATTGCTTTTTTATTTCTCGAATGATTTTTTCCGACGTCACTTTCAGGACCTATTCCAACGTTGCGCAAACGTCGTCTGTTTTACTAATTCCAACGTTGTTTAGATTTCCTTATTCTTACATCGGTAGGACGTCGAGCCACTACCTTTTTGCAACTGTATTGAACCATAACCTTAAATCTTAAATTTTCATTTCATTTTCTGTTCAGTCGGACAGTTCAGTGCTGTTTTTGTTTTTATAAAAAAAAATAATTAAAATGGGACATAAGAAAGGTACATATAAAACTAAATTTAAAAATACATCGACATATTACCGATACTTTATCCACTCCCTTGTTTATTTAGAATATAGAGGGCGGCACAAGCTAGACTCTAGGATGACTAAATTAGGCAATCTTGCGACTAGTATCCTACCTGTTAAGGCTGAACTCCGACTTTATTAGTCCAGTATGCGACTACTCGAACTACTCCATCTTAATCTCCAAAACAACAAAGTGAAAGCCGCCATGTTGTTGAATAAGAAAATGTTTCGTTCCTAAAATAGCAATTCCTGCTTTTTGAATACATTAACTTGAAATATTTGACCCTAAACAACACGCGGAAACAATTTTTTCGACTGCGAATAAATTATTCTCATTTTACTAAAAAAAAATTCAAGAAATTTTTAAAACTTCTTTAATTTTAAGGCCCATTAGTATTTTTCAAAGTAGAAACAATACATTTATCAATAAAGTTGTTTGCGTTTAACTTTTTTGCCTTGGGTAACGAGTTACAGAGTCGGTTAAAGTGTTTCAATAATTATGATCTTCAAACATCCTCCACACTTAAATACTTTTGTTTTGTTTTTCTTTACTGCCATCTGGCATATGTCTCTAACTAAATCATAAAAATATTTTTACTATAATTATCCCAATTTAGGATAAAACGCGACTTAGACGCCATATTATTATAGTTTTGTGTTTCTGTGAATTAGGATTTTAAACAACGTTGCAATTTGTACTAAATTAGGCTTCTAGCCAACGTAGGTATCCAACGTCTTTTCGACCCAAAAATTATTCTCCAAACTAGTGCAGACTAGGGTTGGCACGAGGTTGTGCCGACGTTGCGCCCCGACGTTTGGTCGCGTGACACAACGTTGTCCCGACGTCCAAATGCTGCTTGGGGCGCGTCACCAAAAATGAGCTCGCGTGTCATGGGTTCGCCATCACTGCTATATTATCTAGGGCTTTGAATTGCAGCTGCTAATATCTATTATTTAAGTTAGCCGTGAATTGTATTACATTGTTATTTTTCGATATTATATAGCAGGCAGCATTACCGCTGGCTATCCTGTAAGAACTCAAACACAGTACCAACAGGCTGGACCAGCATCACTATACACCACTCAATCTCGACAGATGTATCAAAGTTATCCTCCAAGAGAATAGGAAAAATTTGCTAACTGGTATAAAGGTAAAATTAAATTCTACAGAAGTAGGATACAATTCTGGATAAAAATGCAGGTCTAATCATTTTAAGAACAGATCACAGCAAAGAAATAAAAATGTTTATTCTCTAGAGAGTTTTTTTATCTACCTACTATACAGGGTGTCCAAGAAATAAGTGCAAATATTTTAACTGGTAGTATAGGTCAACCCCAGAAACACGCCTATGAGGTTTTTTTGCGAAAAAAAATGTTGAAAATTTAAAATTTTTCTTGACATTTTCCGGGAAATTTGAAAAAACTTTTTAGTGCCACTTGTTTATTCACCTGAGATTTCCCTACGGTGTATATAAACCTTGCAGTGTTGCAACCTCTTATGTTATTCACATTCTACATAGTTCGGCGGAACATAGTTCTACATTTATAAATTCATAGACAAATTTCTACTCAAAAAATTAGGAATGTTAAATTTAATCTTTTATCAGTGCTCATTATTAATAATTATAGAAAAAAAAACACATTAATTATTTTTAGTACCTACCCTTTCAATGAAAACTTAACAAAAACCACCGAAAATGAACTAAAACATTACGTTTATGACGTTTACGAAAATCTTCGTTATGCTGCAAAATAACTTTATTTTGGAATAAATTTAATAAAATGATTCATATTATTCACAATCAGGTCACAAAAAGAAATTCCTAAAATGTTTATCGTAATTTAGAATTCAATTCAAGAAATTTAGAAAACAGCACAACGAATAATTGATTCATTTTTGTTTTGTTTGTTTTCTTTCATGTTTTCTGTTTTATTTGAACCACTGTTTTACAAAACACCTTGAAAGCGTACATTACTTTGAATACCTTTCTGAATGAATAAATGTTGAGAATTATTGTCTCTTATCGCCACTTTACGAACTACTTTCAATCTAAGAAAATACATGTTTCACTCAACAATTATTGACAACGTATTTTGTTTTTTCGCTATTTTTTCGATGTATTTCGACAATTCCATCGACAGCCTAACCGGTCGTTCTTCTCTGGCCTAACCGTCAGCCAAGAACCGCCGCGTGTGAACTGGTCCTTTGAGTCGCCGGTCGTCGCGCCGTCGTGGCGGGCTTGCGTCAGACGACGATGTTAAGCAACGTTGCCGTAGTTACAACAATTTCAAATTCAAGACATTCGAAGCAATCAAATTCGTATTAAATTTTAAAAATAAAACAGAGAAACATGAAAGGAAATAAACAAAACAAAAATGAATTGATTATTCGTCGGGCTGTTTGAATTCTGAATTACGATAAACATTTTAGAAATTTCTTTTTTGTGCCCTTATCAATAACCAATTCATTTGTGTTTTGTTTGTTTCCTTTCATGTTTTTCTGTTTTATTTTTAAAATTTAATAAGAATTTGATTGCTTCGAGTGTCTTGAATTTGAAATTGTTGAAACTACGGCAACCTCGCATGACGCAAGCTCGACACGGCGGCGCGACAAAGGAGCAGTTACCAGTGATGCGCCGCTCTCTTGGCCGGTGGCCGACGCGACGATTGGGCTGTCGATGGAATTGTTGAAATACATAGAAAAAATAGCGAAAAAACAAAATATGTATTTAAAATTGTTGAGTGAAACATGTATTTCCTTAGATTGAAAGTAGTTCGTAAAGTGGCGGTGAGAGACAATAATTCTCAACATTTATTCATTCAGAAAGGTATTCAAAGTAATGTGTGCTTTTCAAGGAGTTTTGTAAATCAGTGATTCAAATTGTGATGAGGCCTATATGAAAATAATGTGTTAAAAATGGGGACACTGTTATTTTAGTAGTTATTATAATAACTACAGCATGTACAAGTAAAGCAGCACAGTGAAGTGTATTTTAGTTAAGTGTATATCGAAAAAGAGAATTGTCACAGTTACAATCTGTCATAAGTATCTTTTTTAATGTTGGGTAAGTTTTTTAATTTAACTTTTTTAACACATTTTTTAACACATTATTAAACATTTAACTTTTAATTTATTTTATGTAATAATATCACAATCTTAAAAATGTAATGAATCTCTGCAAACTCGTCAGGTGTTGTGATTTTATGACTTACTTTTAACATATACTTTCTTGTCCCTATGGCAACACAGTGCGTCGAATTAACTGAAATCCGGGTTTGATCCGGGTAATTGGATGTAGTTGGCGATATATGCCGGCGGTTCTCAAAATGTTGCGATTATTTTTTTAAATTTTCAAAGTTAAATAACTCGGTTATTTTCAATTTATTTTAAAAATGGTAAAGAGAAAATATGTTTATTTTGACCAGCCCTTAGAATATCTGCACTCATTTCTGGGACACCCTGTATATCGGATGCTTCTCGAAAGTGGCTCACCCCTATAACTTTTTTATTTTTTTTTTCATATAAAAAAAAGATTTGATATGTTATAGTATATGACATAAATTAGGATTGATTGACGTATTCAATTGTTTTTGCTCACTTCACTTGGTTTCACCGGAAATGACTACTACTTTTGATTTTTAAATGACACCCTCAGTATATTTCTACTTTATTCAATAGAAAATGACACTCTGAATAGAATGACATATCATATTATGTCTTATGGCAGTCTCTCACCATTTCTCAGAAAAACGGAATATAATTTCAATATCGATTTTTTCTTAATTTTTGATATTTTTAAGGTTTTCTAGCACATATTTTGTTAGGTATTCAATAATCAATAATGTTTTTGCTATTTTCTGTTGTAGAATGTAGAATGTTTAGCAGGGGAGTTAATCACCGCGACCTTACAGATCTATTGTGTGTTCCCCTTTCTTGAGTTATAACGAGTTATAACTCATCATACAGTCTCAGGGCTTTGAGAAAAGCCAGTATCTGAGACGGCTCCACAGAGCCAGCTCTCATCCTCGACATCAGACGTGCCAAGGTTCATGGCACGAATGGTCGTCGTCTCGGCGCACTCAGTGATAAGGTGTTCTGGTGTTTCCCCATTTTCCCCACAAAATCTGCATTCGCCGTTGTTTCTCAGTTTCAGCCTACTGAGGTGTTCGTTGAGGAGACAGTGTCCTGTTAGAAACTGTTTTCTGTTACTTTTTTAACCAATTCTATGCATAATAGAGGAAAATTTGCTAAAATAAATTTGTAAACAATCTGAAAATGTTAGATTATAGCTTTGTTCGGGTTCTTGTTATTACCGATTCTGAACCGTCCAAGAACTCTGCAGCGCATGCGCAAATGAAATATTTCCTTTTGCGCATACGCATCACAGTTCTAGGACGGTTCAGAATCGGTAATAAGAGAAACCCGAAGTAAATTTATGTGTTTCTGGCATTTAAAGCAACGTTGCCAATGCTAAACCTAAATTTAGCGTGTTTTTTTCGCTCATTATGGAATTACGAAAGGCGGTCGCCAGAAGAACGGCTCCTTCCCATAACTGCTATTTTACCAACGAGATCTGACTATTTATACCCACGAAGTTGCACGAAAGAGTTTTGATTGCATTGGTTACAACTTCCATGCAGAGGGTGTTAATCTTTTGCTGTTATATTATTAGATTAACTAAAAAAAGATTAACCCCCTCCACAAAGAAGTTAAAACCAATGCAATCAAAACTCTTCCGCGTAATTTTGTGGATAAAGGTGTATATTTAATTATTGTCGATCTCATAATAGGTAATTTATTTAAAATCCGTAATCACCCGAAAAAATAGAAGATATGGCAACGTTGTAAATTTTCAAATTTCTAGATTAGGTCTAGAATATATTTGTCTCTCTTATTACATAGGAGAGAGAAAGAAGGATATATCAAATGTCAAACTTCCATCTGGTCTCAATTTTCTTTGCTATTTTGTTAAGAAAAGTGTTTTTCAGTAAAATGTTGGACACTTTTCTATCCCCAATCAAGTGTGGCTTTTAGATAAACTATAATATAATGAAAATATAGTGAAATTATTACTTTATAGGGCCGAAATAAAGAAAAATTCAATGTTGAAATAATTTTCCGTTTTTCTGAAAAACGGTAAGAGACCGCCAAGAAAAAAAATAGATTCGTAATCTACGACCTCAAAATAGTGTGTATACTAATTTTGGTGAAAATCGGACGATTTCCAGTTTTCCCAATAATTACCACATTTTTTATTGATTATATATGTAGAGTGTCATGGATGTGTTAAAAACACTAATTGTTAATCAAGGAGCCTTGGAAAAATACATTCGATTGTCTAATGTATTTCGTGACTGTCCTGGCCGGTTAAAAGACGCCCAAATCGTATTTTTAATCATATCTTAATTTTTTTCAAACGGAACAAGGTTGGCTCATTAGCATATTTTTTAAAAAGCGTTTTTTTGCGAATAAAATTCAGTACAAACTTGGTATTTCGAGTCAAATTGTCGTTATGAACCGCATGTTACAATTTCAAATAAACCATACGCGAAAATGTCAAAAGTTGACATATGATTGCTACAAAATTGATGATTGGTTCAAAAAAAAATACGAATTTTATTTCCTGTAATATGTTTTTTTTGAAAGTGGTATAAGTCCATTTTGGAGCTTAAAAAGCGTGTATTTTTTGTAAGAATTGTAATATTTATAAAGGTTAAATAAAAGGTGTTAATAACATTACTTGAATAGATTATAAGGATTGCGAATATTTTTAAATTAATTCAATTGCAAAACCTTAAATATCTTGATACATGGAAAAATAGACTTCACCACTTTCAAAAATAACAGTTCATATTTCTATTAGGACTGATTACTAGATCACTTTTTTATTTTTGTCTTCTATCATAAGTAATCGTTTATATTTCTTTGAGGAGAATAAAACATGATATACTGGGTGGTCCGAACTGTATTTCGGAAACTTCGGCAGCATATTCTGCACATAAAAACAAGTAAAAAAGTCCGTATAAACTTATGTCCTTAAATGCTTCGTTTCGGAGATACAGGGTGTAGAAGTTTCATTTTTATTTCGATTTTTTCCAAATAATTTCTGAACTAAGGTCGATATTTGGATGAAAATTGGTGTCTGGGTGTTTTTTTACATGTATGGAGCGCCACCTACAGGTTCTTTAACTGGTTTGAAGAGTAATAACTTTTCGTCCGTACCTGTATAAAACTAACGAGCATAAAAATATGCATTTCCGTAATTTCTTGCATAACAGATGTCTCTTGGTAAAAATCGCTACAAGCAACCGTTTTCAAGATATTTGGAATGGAAATTATTGACAAAAAGTATGCATTTTGACTGAATAGTTATTAATCTGAAATAATAAATTTGAAATGTTTTTGTGCCAAAGATTCAACAGAAGCTGTTTTATCGTATTTTTTTCTAGAAAAATTCATGATTAGTTAAAAAAATTAAAGAGTTCCCAAATTTATTATTTCAGTCAAATAAGTATTTAGCAGGGTTGACATGATTTAAATCAAATGATTTAAATCAAGTGATTTTTTAATTTTAATCATGTGATTTAAATCAACAAATTTTTTTATTGAAACTCTATAATAAAATCAAGAAATAACTTTAAAGTTACAAAAATTTTGTCCTAGACGAGTAGAAAAAATATTTCGATAACAGATAGTAAATCGAAAAATAATTGTAAATGTTATAAAACTACATAAAAATAATAAAAATATCTATTCGTCAATTTAAATGTTGGACCGATTTTTCAAGTAATTTCGTGTGAATCCATTAGACGCTAAACGCAGGAATTTATTTTAAAATATATGTATAAGTGACAAAAATTCCAATACATATCATTCGCAAAGTCTAGTGCAGAACTAGGTTCTTCTAATATAGAGACTATCTTCGTCGCCGAGAATCTATAACCGTTCTCACAGATATGTTGTTTTATATTTTTTTTGAAACGGTTGTACGTTTCCAAATTCCTACCGACATTTTGATCTGCAGTAAGCACTTTACATTTTGATATTAGATAATATCCTTGTTTATATATTCTTAAAGTTGCCCAACCTCGCGACAAAATGTGCTGCCTCTGGTGAACAAATCGTGAAGCTTTAAAGGAATGAAGCATGTGATTAGGGGCGGAGTCAAAAATATCGATTATTTGCGGTATTTCCCTCAGAGTAATGTAATAATATAGCTCGGATTTTTGCGAACTATAAACTATAATAGGGCTCAACTGATTAAGAAATTTAAACAAAACTATTATTTCATTGTTGATTTTCGATTATTTTTGCTGTTATTTTAAGGATTCTAAACCGTATTAACAAGAAATTATTATTTCAATATGTTGGTACATTAATGCTAATTACTGGTAATTATTAATATTTAAAAAAAGTTACATACACTTACTTTATTTCGATTTGACACATAAAATTTTATTTCATTCTTAGATCATTTTATTCTAAATTGAGGTTTTACGAATTTACGATAATTTTTTTTTAAAAACTGAACTTTTATACATTCTTGATTAAATATTTTCTTAATTAAAAATAAAACTTGGCACTTGCTTCAATAATATTATTTGACATTTAAATAAATATTATGTACTTAATACACCATTTAAATCTTTATTACACGAAATAAATATTTCTTAGCGTAAAACATGATCAGAGTCAAATTTGTTTTAACTTTGTACCATATGAAAAAAAACGGCGTCCAGTTGGCTGGGAAATGACGATCGACGACATTTCCCATATAAATTTACATATAAAATGACAGTGATCTTCATTTCATAGCCATCGCTGACGCCGTTTATTTTCGATCAAGAATTATAGAAACTGAAAATATCATTATGTTTTAACTCACAAAGCCCGTTAAACCATAAAACTTTCTAGTGTATTGTTTTATTAGGAGTAAAAATGACACTTTTCGTGGCGAGACTGTACGTTTGACATACAGCCGAAGCACATAAAGTCATTTTTACTCCGAATAGAGCATGCTATTTTTTTCAAACACCACAAATAATTTTTTAAACAATTTCACCTACTACTTAACTTCAAAATAAAATATAAAAACACTACTAAAATCTCTCTTCTGGTAGTCTACACTAAACATTATAATCAAACTTAATAAATTAATCTAATTTTACATTACAACTACAAGAAAATGTTTTAAAACTACAAGAAACAAAACTTCGATACGTGCGACCAGTGTAATAGATCAAGCGGAAAAAGAATATAAAATACTTTAAAATGTGCATTCAGAAAGAAAAAATATCTCGAAAATTATCTAAACAAACATTTTTTTTTTCTTATCAGTGAAAAACATCGACCTCGTCGGCCTTGCGGAATTTGTCGGGTATTTACAATGGTCGAATTGTATAATTACCAGCTTTTAATAGCATATCTAATAGACAAAAAGTATCTTTTCGATTAGTAACCAATTGGCACAGTCCGAAAATTATCGATTTTTATTTTCCCTGTTTTTATTGGCCGCTTCAAAATTCAGAGTAACAAAAAATATTTTTCTCTAGTAAAAGACTGTGAAATACGCCCCGCCATCTGGTGCTTTACATCCATAAACGTCTTAGGTTGAGCTACTTTAAAAATTCATATACAAGGGTATCAGGCAGAGTTATAAAGATTTAGCCATTTAGGATTGGACTTCAATTGGAAATAAGTTCTAGTCATTTGGAAATCCGATTTAACTATTGTTTTGAATAAAAATCAAAAAAACCTCATTTATATAAAAAAAAATGTGATTTATTTAAAAAAATCATGATTTTTTCCAACCCTGGTATTTAGTCAACATTGTTTATTTTTTGACGATAATGACATGTATTGATTATTTCCATTCTTAATATTTTGAAAACGGTTGCTCGTGGAGATTTTTAGCAACATTTTTACTTAGAAAATGTATGTTTTTTTCACTCATAGTAGCGTAATATAGGGACGGACGAAAAGTTATTACTATACCCTTAGACAAGGAAAGAGAGGGGACAGCTAACACGCATATTCTCCAGTGAAAAATTTTTGAGGTCAAAATTTGATCGGCGGCCATACTTTGGTGACAAGATTTCGAGGTGACACCAAATTTATAAACTGTGTTGTTTAGTATGGTGAGATGTTCGGCGTATGGTTGCAAAGGCTGAAGCGAGAAAAAAATGATTGGAATTACATTTTACAGGTAAAAGTTGATACACAACTTGTGCTATGTAGTCATAAAATGTACATTTTTTTCATTATAGCAGTAAAAATATGTAAAATGCTTTTAATATGTTTTGTACCACATCCAAACCAAACTATTTTTAATAATTCCAAGTATTTTCAATATCCTGTATTATAATTAATGTTTGAAACTATAAATAATGCTACTCAGCATGGATTTCTCCAGTGGCGTAGGGAATTATAGCCAGAGAAATACAATTTCTGCAATAAACATTCTTCTATATATTTTACATGTAAAAAAATGTATAAAGTATTGTTATCAACTATGTAAAATAATAAATGTAAACTATAAAAAAAAACATGAAAAATTTTGGATATAAAAATCTATATGTATAGTTGTTACATAAAACTTAAATTTACCTGCCAAGATTTGCTGGGGGTGGACAAACTTGTGGTGGGGTACTTGTTACAATATTTTTTTAAATATCCTTTCAAAAAATTTGCTAGTTTAGGTGTATAATAATAGTTTCAGTGAGTAATTAATAAAAATTTAAAAATAAATCAATAAAATAACACAAAGGTTTTAGAATTGTTTTTTTTTGCGGAAAATTCGGATATTCTCATGATTGAATCATAAGAATATCAAAAATGATTGAATCATAAGAAATATTAAAAATTACATTATTCATACAATCCGTAGGCAAGTGTGAAGGGGATTGCCTAGATTCATTATTATACCGTATGATCGAAAAAAAAACGGCGTCCAGTTGGCTTGTAAATGACTGTCGATGACATTCCTCTCAGTCAGTTTTCGATGTCATTTTATATAGTTTTTATGTCATTTTATATGTATGGGGAATGTCATTATCGATCGTCATTTCCAAACAAACAGGATGCCGTTATTTTTCGATCATACGGTATATATGTATATACACGTTTAAAACATATATATTTACATTATTTTTTATTTAATTATACATTATACACACGTTAATAAATAAATAATTTTCTTGATGATCAGTTAACGATGAACAGTCACTGTGACTGTTAAATAAATTTTGCATTATCGGCTTAGATATTCTAATATTATAAAGGTGAGACTATAAAATACAAAATTGTATATGCATTACTCAAAATAAACGATATATTAGTTAACTTTTTAATGAATATTTTTTATCGTCTAGGTACAAGCTAATTTCTTATGCTACGCCATTGGAGAATTTCAAGTGGTGACAAGTGGCCTCACTTTCAGCTGCCGTGTACCTGTCCCCTCTCTTTCCTTGTCTAAGACTATACCAAAGAGTTTAAAAAAATGTAGGTGGCGCCCCCTACAAGCAGTAGTTATATTGACATCGGAATTAAATTCATCATATTAAAAAAAAACAGATACTAATTTTCATCCAAATACATTTCATCCGAATTTAGTTCAGAAATTATTAGGAAAAAATCGAAATAAATATGAAATTTCTGTATTTCTCCGAAACTAAGCATTTCAGGGCATGCATTTATACGAACTTTTTTACTTATTTTTATCTGCATAATATGCGTGCGAAGTTTCCGGAATACAGTTCGGACCACTCTGTATATAGGAAAAATACATATATATTTAAATAGAGAATAATATATGACAAATTTTAATTCTTGTTTAATATACATAATTTCTTAACTTAACGTTTCTTTGATGCATATCCACGTTTTTGTTTCTTAATGCTTAATAGTACTTTTTAGTAGAAACAAGGGCTGTTTTTATAGCGCCCCCTTTTTGAGTTTTTTTGTTTCAGGAACGGGTTATGCTCGCCCCTAGATGATGTTTTATTCATCAGTTCATACTATTTTCATTTAGTCTTTTACGTACCCAAATAGATCTCGCTAATGATGTGAATGTAGACGACATACTCCTATGCGTAGACAAGTTCCACATTTCAGTATCCCCGTGGTTGAATATCCTATTGCGGGTCTGGTGCCACGCGTCGGGTACGTTTTTGTACTCCCCAAAATCATATGCGCAATATGGTCTAGTGCCTTGGATTTCATCTTTCTCCACTCGGAAGGCTGTAATTAATGCGGCAGTCGCGATTCGTCGATCTATTAGGGTAAAGCATTGTGCGGACATAGGGTTACCGCAGTAATGGTGAGTCCTCGAGAAAGATACTGTCCCTTCGTCGCTTCTCTTTTGCCATAGCATCTGTGCCATGCTGCCTCTCTGACTGTGGTGTTCAAATTCACAAATAGCCGCCTCTGTGCATCTGATAAAGGTATAAACATCCAACAATAATCGTGAGTTAAGTGGTAATTTGACCAACGTTGGGTGTATGCTGTCTCTACATACTCCCGCTGATTCGAGAAAACGTTGCTGCTCGAGAGTTAGACTAGTGGCTGGTGCCCAGCCTAAACAGTTTACGGTCGGTAACCCTGCGGATACTCCTTCAAGTGGGACTAAATCTTCGGGAAGATTCCAATTACTGGGTTGTTGAGGATTACGAGTATAAGCGAGGTCCTGTTGCATTCTTTGCGCTATTACCACTGGTGCCGCGAGCGATTCATACATGTAATGGTTTTCCGCGCTAACGCGTCCAAAGTGACCGTGTTCGTTAGGCCATGCCGGGAAGTCAACTTCATAATCTATCCCCGTCGTATCTTTGATATTGCCTATCGATCTGAGATAATCTCCAATTGGTAAAGGTGGTGCATGTAGAGCTTGATTTTCCTGTCCTTGGTATCTTTTTATTGCACCTATCCTCGCGTAAGCAATTGACCAGATGTAATACGAATAGGCGGAAAGCGGTACGCATCTATTAAAATTCTTGGATATGAAACGTAGATTATTGTAAGTTTCGTCAATTAGGGGCTGTAACCCCTCTAGTGTTACGGCAAATTTGCTTCTCGATTTGTACGCCGTAAATGCAACACTATCATTCCCGAAATTATGCCACATCGGATCGTTATTTACCTTTGGCTCCATATTGGTCCGTTTGTTTACCAAACTAATGTAGGCAGTCTCGAAGCCGTCGAAACTGTTCGCGGTTGCTCTAAAATTAAAAATAAATGTTTAAGTTACGAGGAAATTACTGATGAGCAAATGCAAGACCAAGACTCCCTTGGTCTTGAAGTCTAATAACTAGTCATGTTCTTGCAGGGTACGGTCTTAGCCTTGCTGCAAGAGACGGGCGCCTTAACTAATACGGCAATATTTTACGTATGGTTAGATAAAAAAAAAGTTGTAAAAAATGTCTATACCTCTGTGGACGATTCATCTCTCCAAAAAAATCCTTTATGGGTATTTCGCCACTGCACTGCAAGAAACTCTACAAAATAAAATAGTTATTTTTTGTAAACACTTCTGCGTTAATCCTAAACGGACACTGCTTGTCAGAAGTTGTTTGTTTGCAATATAAATAAACATAACATACGTAAAATTTAAAAATAATCATACAGAAAGTTTGGGGCTTTTTGGTTTTACCTTATTAAGTAATTGTTATCAGGTAGTAATTGTTAATTTTGAAGTTTAACTTGATATAATGTCATTTTAACAGAACGTCAACGGTTTCTTGTACACGTATCTGTTTTAAAAAAGTAAAGTGTTCTCGAATAGTTGAATTTAAATATTTTAAGTTTCTCACATATTTTATTAACCAAAAATGTCTGGCCGTGGTAAAGGTGGAAAAGTGAAGGGAAAGGCAAAGTCTCGTTCCAATCGTGCAGGATTACAATTTCCCGTCGGTCGTATTCACAGATTGTTGCGTAAAGGCAACTATGCAGAGCGTGTTGGAGCCGGAGCTCCGGTTTAAGCTTGTTTCATATAGACGCGAATCGCGAATTGCGATTTTGCGAAACTGCTCTAATTGGTCCAATTTTACTGATCATGGCCGCGCTGTCAGAAATTTTAAGATTTTGGCGATTCGCAAGATTTAAAATTTGGGGGGCGGGAAAGTTAAACTGTTTTCAACTTTTTGCGAATATTCGCGCGATTTTAAGGTTCGCGTTTGCGCAGAATGGTGTTGTGATCCGGTTATCGATTATTTTGACCGTTTGACGACGCTGTCGCAAAGTAACTTGAAAGCATTTCTCCAGCTTTAGTGTGTTCTGTGTTCTCCAGTTGAAATGGGTTCTCGTCAAATACGTCTAAAATAATTTAAACGTATTTGGTTCTCGTGCATATGTTTTTGATATATATGGTGACAATTTTTCAACTTCAACCAAGTTATCAAACTCCTATACAGACAATCTGTTAAAATTCCTAAATTTTTTCTCATTTTTTCCTTATTTCTTGAATTAAATTGTGACAAGCACCTTGTTGCTTACGAAATTTGAATATTTCACATGTCCCAAATGACCCATAAATGACCTATAGACCTGTGCTATAAACTATAAACCCGTTCTCTTCTACGTTTTAACAATAAGTAAATGGCAATTTTGCACCTTATTCTATTCCAATCCCACAATCGTAATCGATATTCATAATTATTAAAAAAATGTAAACTCATATTGTATGCTATAAAATATAAAATAAAGATCGTAAACACGAATAAATATGTATAAAACAAATTAAGTTATCTCAGGTTAGGATTTTTTTTGATAACTTTCCGTGGAACAAAAATGAAATGTCCCTAAAAATTCGCGACTGTATGAAATAGGTCCAAATTTTGCGAATATTTTTTGGCGAATCGCTTTTCGCAATTCGCGATTCGCGTCTATATGAAACAAGCTTTACCTGGCTGCTGTTATGGAATATTTGGCTGTCGAAGTTTTGGAATTGGCAGGTAATGCCGCCAGAGATAACAAGAAGACCAGAATTATCCCTCGTCATCTTCAATTAGCCATCAGAAACGACGAAGAATTAAACAAATTGTTATCTGGTGTGACCATAGCTCAAGGCGGTGTTTTGCCTAATATTCAAGCCGTTCTGTTGCCAAAGAAAACCGACAGCAAAACCAAATAAACAATCGTGACGGTTCCTTACCTAGCAGATAGTTGTTTTCTTTATTCTTTGTATTTTTTTGCTCCCGACGACGGAAAGAGATAAACTTTCCGAAACGTTAAGCATTTTTTTCTTTGTTAGGCAAATTTGTATAACTGTAAACATAACTTCTGACAAGCAGTGTCCGTTTAGGTTTAACGCCCCAGAAGTGTTTACAAAAAATAACTATTTTATTTTGTAGATTTTCTTGCAGTGCAGTGGCGAAATACCTATAAAGGATTTTTTTGGAGGAAAAAAAGTTTTAATACAAATATGGCTTATTGTTGACGGCTGCCATAAATCACACATTCGCTGAGAAACCTTTATTTAAGAAATTATTGGGGGGAGTGGGGTAAGCAAATAAAAATTTCATTACTTTTTTAATTATTGTTTATGACAAAATGTAAGACCGTAAGCCCACGGCCACACAGAAAGCGTTTTTTGCGTTTTTAGCGTGAAGCGTCTTTAGCGACTAAAACAAAATAACAGGATTATATAGGAGTGGCCACACCAAAAGCGAGTAGCGTTCGGCGTGTCTCGCAAAAAACGCAAATGAAAACAAATCAGTTTGTTTTTTGTAGCGTCTTTAGCGTTTTCTAAGATGAGACCCCGTCATAGGCGGAAGTTATATTTAATAATACAATAAAAATAAATTAAATAGTATGCATTTTTTTCATTTTAGGGTATTATGTAAAAATATTTTATAAAGAACATTTGTGCGTGTGTTGAAAAAGTGTAGTTTGAAATGTTGAAAAAGTAATAAATTAAAGGAATATTTTCTTACGCGTAAAAAATAGTTTTTTACGTGTAACAAATAATTTTTTATACGCAAAAAATATTTTTTTTGGGTAACAAAAGTTTTTTTACCAGAACCAATAAGTTTTTGAAGCGTAAAAAAATATTTTTTTACGTCTAACAAATAGTTTTTTACACGTATTTTTTTTTTTGGGTAAAAAAGTTTTTTTATAGGAAACAATAAATTTTTGACGCGTAAAAATTAGTTTTTTCGTGTAACAAATAGTTTTTTACACGTAAAAAATATTTTTTTTGCGTGTTGTTTCATAAATCATGTCTAAATGTTTCATAAATCATGTCCTAAAATTGCATTAGCAACTAGAGATATTTACTATTCTATTATATAATTATAATTATTTATTATATTATAATTATAACAAGTACTAACCACAACAACATAAAAAAACTATACACATATAAACTAAAATTCGTAAAATAAATGGCAAATAATAATTATTATTTTTACACACACCACTGGCACTAGCAGTACATTGTGTTTGTCTCCGAATATAAGCCCCGGCCCGTCCACAATTCAATCCCAGCATCTTTTATCTTCGTCTCTTCAACGCTAACGGCGCCGATCTCGCCTATCTCTTTCTATCAGGATTGATGGTTGGACGGGCCGGGAATCCACGAGCTTGCGGCGTTACTAATTGACATATTGATAGAAACTGCAGACCTGCCGCGTCTTTTGCGTGTTTTTAATGGACACAAATCGAAAAAAGCCCTTAAAACGGTAAAATCGCAAAAAGCGCTCGAGACGCAAAAAACGCAAAACGCTAAAAACGCTTTCTGTGTGGCCGTGGACTAACAGCGTTTTCAGATGGAGCGGACCGTCCGCGAGTTCGAGCAAGTACCATGAGTTTAAATGATCAATTTCACACGGGACGCGTATGCTCCATCCGTCGAGCCCTTGCTTTGACAGAGCGTCCGCGCGCGTACGGGCTACGTGTTTAAATACGCTGTTTCACATACACCCGGACCGTCCGTCGCGGACGAAGTGCTGCCATGCAATTTATTTCGACAAGCGTCTTTGCAGCTGAGTACCTTAAAAATTGACACAGAATTATTGATATACGCTGTGGAAAATCAAAGAAGTAGGTATATTGGTTGTGTCTTGCGAGGAATATAAAAACCGAGATATTAAAAATAAAGCATATTATGGAGACGTTGTAGCCGCTACCGTGCCGGATTTTGATAATTTGAATCGGGAAGAATAATGTAAAACTGGTAAACAAAAAACATTTCCCACTATTCTTTATTGACAAGTTATTAAAATAAACGAGTAATGAACAATAATAAGCAAGAGATTCTGCTTACAAATATTTTTATTTTCCCTTAAAATTAAAAAAAAAGCAGGGCCTGTGAATTCCTCGTAGAATTATAGCAATGGTAACAACTGCTGTTATATCACTTCATTCTGCTCTCCGATGGCAACCAATTTTCTCTCGCATTTGATTTGGTTGTATAGGCCGTCCTATACGTAGATCGGTTCCAGATTTCAGTATCCCCATAATTGAATATCTTATTGCGGGTCTGGTGCCACGCGTCGGGTACGTTTTTGTACTCCCCAAAATCATATGCGCAATATGGTCTAGCGCCTTGGATTTCATCTTTCTCTACTCGGAAGGCTGTAATTAACGCGGCAGTCGCGATTCGTCGATGCGTTAGGGTAAAGCATCGTTCGGATATAATGTTCTCGCAATAATGGTTAGTCCTCGAGAAGGATACTGTCTCTTCGTGACATCTCTTTTGCCATGGCATCTGGGCCATGCTGCCCCTCTCACTTTCCTGTTTAAATATACAGATGGTTGGGACCCCCCTTGCAGTTTGGACATATCTATTGACTTTACATAATAATGATGAGTTAAGTTGTAATTTGTGCAAGCTTGGGTGTATGCTGTCTTTATCTACTCCCGCTGATTCGAGAAACTCTTTGTGATTGGTATTTAGGCTAGCAGCTGGCGCCCATCCTAAACAGTTTACGGTCGGTAGACCTGCGGATTCCCCTTCAGCTGGGACTAAATCTGCGGACAAGTTCCAGTTTTTGGACTGTTGGGGATTACGGGTATAAGCGACGTCCTGTTGCATTCTTTGTGCTATTACCACTGGTGCCGCGAGCGCTTCATACATGTAATGGTTTTCCGCGCTAACGCGTCCAAAGTGACCGTGTTCATTAGGCCATGCCGGGAAGCCAACTTCATAATCTGTTCCCGTTGTATCTTTGATATTGCCAATCGATCTGAGATAATCTCCAATTGTTAAAGGTAATGCTAA